CTTCGCATGGGCCGGGCCCGGCGTTCCTTAGCAGCGGGTGAGATCGCGGTCAGAGTCCCCGAAACTCTAAAGATGTCAGAAAAGTCTCACTGCAACACTTTTGGGTCGTGCAAGGAAAAGCGAGATAAGGCAAACACGGGAGACAGCGGAAGGGCCGGAGGGCACGCCATCACTGGTTGCGGCCTCCAGCAAGCTGCCGTGATGAGAATGAGCTGTTCCCGACGCATGTTGCATGGACCCACTTGGATGCAGACGGCGTCCCCAGCTGGAGTGCAGATTGTACTTCATGGTGTTTAGAGGTGACGCCTGTCTTGTGTGGTGTTGTGAGTGTGCGAGGTGTTGTGTTACCTGGTGGGTGCAAGGCTGAGGCTTGCGCTATTTCGGCTGAACTTGCTGTGAGCTGCTTTTGGGGAATGATACTTGGAGCTTGTGAGACATGTATGGCGCTTTACGTCGGCATGTCATCTATGTGAGGCTGCAAGCCGAGGGACGTGGCTGCACAGCACCAAGAACAAGTTGCCGGGTATCTAAAATGGAGAAAGAAGCTTCCCGGGTGGACATCAACGTCAGGGTTGCATAAAATTGCCTGAGAGAGCAGCCTATCATTGCTGGCCATTTGTGACAGTGTGCAAAAGGCCTTCTTCTTCAGCGCGTCGATGCTGTCGTTCAAGCAAGGCTTGATGTGGCTGCTGTTGTAGGCCCCGACGCCCATGCCTGCCATCAGTCACAGAGCTCTCTCCAGCATGATAGACAGAGAACGAGCAACTGCGACAATTCATCTCACATCTCAACGACATTGAAGTGCCAGTCAGGCGCGGAAATGTAGCGTAGTGCTCGGAAGAAGAAAGATAATTACTCCGATAGCAATTCGTACATCTGCCCAAGCTAATGCGAGAATCTCCAAGGTGATAGACACAAGACGGCAAGAAGCCAGCCTTTCATCCTCTGTGTTTGTCTCCGATGAAACACTTGCGAGCATAGCTTGGACCGGCAATTCGAAAGATCTGGGCCTACAGGCCTACAGCATCACGCATCCGTCTTGCGAGTGGTATGATTGCACACGCTTGCTGTTTCCAAGTCCCTGTGGTCCCTCTGTGGCCTATAAAGCAATTGAAGAGGAAGTCCAACATTGTCCTGTCAGTGTACACCACAGCTCTCACACAGCGCAGAGACACCTGGAAGTCACCCGGAAGCTCAGAGCACTCCTCGAGAAAGCTATCGCTGTCTTGACAGCGGCTGGGCCCTTCACGACTCGTCCCAGTTGAGCCGAGAAAATACTCTAAGAATCATCAGGATTCCTCAGGCATGCACAGCTGAACGTCGGTCCAGCAACTTGTATTCTGAAGTGTCAAACTCTTCATTAAACTTGCGGAAATCCTACCTCATTGATTGCATGGTTCTATTTGCAACCAGGCGTGCTGCTCGTCACAGCAGGATGAGGGAAGGCTAACTCGTGCTAGTTAAGCAGCATGAATTCCAAGCCTGCCTCTCTGTGCAAGCAAAAACAACTTCTGGAAAGCGCCCAGCTCACCAACTCGTCCTCAGAATGTGATGCTATAACCTAAGGTGTCTGAGCAACTCTGAACTCATTTGGTGCATGAGTTTCGTTTGCTTGGGAAGTCTAGGACCCATTCTGCTGCGTCTTTCCGGGCGGGAGAGCCGGCAACTTTGTACAAGCGTTGGCATGAAAGCTGGCAGTGGGAGTGGCTGCTACATTCATGCTTACATACACAGCTGGCCGCGAATCGGAAGCAAATAGTCTTCACACGGCAACTCAAAGTTCACGACGGAAGAGAACTTGCTGGTTGGAAGTTCAGAACGGTAGCTTCCTCAGCCGCTCTCATTGCTTGCTACAGTCTAATGACGCCAACATGCAAAGTGGGAGCTGGCTCGATTTCTGGCACCATTGGTGCATTGGCATCAGCATTCTTCGGCCTCATAAAGCAATTCCCTGGGCTCCAGTCAGATTGGAGCATCGCCCCAGATACAGAGACCCAAAAGAAGCCGTCATTCTGAAGGCATCGTGACTGCGCCCTCCGGACTCCAGTAGCGAGCTTTCAGCTCAGTGCCGGGCCGACGGGGAAAAGTGAGGGAACATGCTGCGCTCACGTTCGGATGTGAATTTCCCATCCTCATCTTCATCAAACACACACACACACACACACACACACACACACACACATATATATATATATATATATATATGGGGTTTTGTGAAACATGTCTTTGCCTGAATCAAGGTGGCCGCTAATCTGTCCGCCTAATGGGCAAGACAAAAATGGATACCAGCTTGATCGCAACGGAAAAGCATGAAATGGGAAATCTCCGCCTCGATGGAAACGACTCACCCTTGCTTAAATCGTCCTGAGTACGTAGTGTACTTGCCGCCTGTAACTTGATGTTCCCACCGCAAGCCTCCTTTCAAGCCACTGCTATAGTTGCTACCATAAGCGCATCCACAGATGGTATCCAGAATCTAGGGCACACCCATCTTGCAAGCCCAGTGTCTACAAACTCTCCGTATGCAGCTCCAGTGGTGCGACGTCGTCGGCTGCTACCCCTGTGTCTCCAGCGTGGGGCACGGACCTTCAAGGAGCGGAGATTACTATTTTTTCTGTCTGGAATGGGAGGTCCCTCATGGGGAGCTGTATAACACAGCCAGTTCTGAGCACTTCTTCAGGCTGGACCAGGACAAGTTGATGAAACGCCAGATTGAGAGTTACAACCAGATCATGTTCGGCTTTCCATGCCGCCACGGTAGATAGGGCACCGGTGCCAAAAGGCTGTTGCAGATACCAGTAGGGCCTTGAACTGAAAGCTCACCTTCAAAAGTCGAAACATATCCCCGTCATCCTATGTCTCTACAGGCCAGAGCGGAAATGGGCTCGAGGCGCCCCCGAAACTCCCCCAGTTCCAGTCAAGTTGATTGTTCGGCCGAAGGATCGGGAGATTCCGTAGTGGCCGGGGCCTGCAGCCTATAGATATATCGAGTAGTATTCGTGTATGTGACCGATACATAATTTCCCAGGATATACCCGTCTGCCGGCCTTTCTGCGGCTGGCGTCGGCCTCGGAAGTCGCAGGGTTCAACACCATGCGAAAATCTCGAAAACGGATGCCTACATCTCCGCTGCATCTCCGTACTGTTGGCATTTAAGTTCATATCGCTTGGTCACGAGGGCTCCTGTAAGCCGGTACGAGTAGTATGCTGCTTAAGTAACGAACCGAGGAGGTGTCAACAGTGGTCTAACAGGTAATTGCACTGATGTTGAGGGGGCTAGGTATCTTGGGAGAAGTCGGAATGAGCGCCAAACCCTGAAGGATCCTGAGGGCATGAAGATGCTTTTATTGGAGCCATGTCCTGCACCACACTTCACTGGTTTCCAGTGGACAGGTCCTGCTGCAGGGCCCAAGGCCAGTGTTTCCCGCGAAGATTGCAGATGACTGCACTGGTTCAGTCTGATGATTGCATCCTACGTCCTAGATCTGGAAACCGCCAGCCCTAATGGACTTCCGTTTGCAGCAGGATCGCATCAGCACACACCACTCCACAGCGATTCTGGGGTGAATGGAAAATCCGGTGAATTTGCAACCATCCTCAATCAATCTCTCCACGATTACAGCCGGTGCCAGCCACCCGTGCTTTCATGAATTTCACGAGCCATGCCATGGTTCACAAGGTTCTTAGGAATAAATGGAGTAATTGAGTCGCAGTTTGTGGGCGCGCAAGCTGCCAGTTACCGCTCTGTGCGGCGAGGCCTCCGAAGTGATGCAAACACCTCGTCGCCAGCTGTCGCTTGGGCCTTCCACCTCCGGCCGGGAACCTCCGAATCTGTGCGCATCTAAAAGTCCCGACTCTCCAGACTGCCAGAAGCCTCGGCTTTGTGGCTCTGGCAGCTCCAGGAGTGTCAGGCGATGTCAGGCGGCTTTGGATGTTGCATGTTCGCATGAGGGCGCCGAGCTGGTGTATTTTGTCGTATGTTCTCCCTGTTCACTGGATTTCACTGGACGTGCTTGGGCCCTACCTTCCTGGTCTGCAAGCTGCTCTGACTTCAGTGTCAAAACCAAGCACCGATAAGCACCAACTTTTGGAATTAAATGGCTCCTTGTGAGCCTTGGGCGGGGGGCCGCATCCTGGTGCTGACAGGCTCTGTGCACGAGCTTGCGATCAAGTTGATGATTCGAGACTTGTTGTGGCAACGGCAGCCTCTCCAGCACAGGATCTCTGGCAAACATCCGAGACTGTACGGTTTGCCAGCTTTGCGGGTACCCCTGCCCAGACAGCGGATTGGATGCACTCTGGCACTTCCGGGCACTAGCGATGTGAGGCGATGTGAGGCGTGGTGCTCCTCTTTAGACTGGCCGCTCAGCCCGAAACTGCCCAAAGCATGAGAAGCCTTCACCCTCTCGAAGCTCACTTGTCGATACTAGTTCTTGATTTTGTTTTGCTACGGAAGGGCAAAGCCAGACAATGAGTCAGTCATGAGTCTCATGTTTATGTCATCAAAGCAGATGAACCTATGCGTTGAAGACAGCTGCGTCAGCGCGCTGAACAAAACACTGCCTAAGAACACGTGCTCTCAACCAACACCTATTGCAAGCGTGCAGTAGCTGTAGCTGTCAACTCAGCTGCACATCTTCCGTCTACAGAATCTACAAATCTACAATTAAATTGAATATGAATTAAATCAAGCCTGGGCTCAGGCCCTGTAGGTCCAACGCAAACGAGATCTGTTCAGTTCTTGTTGGTACCACTGGCTTGCACGGTTGGGCCCTCAGCATCACGCAGATTCCTTCTACGCATCTTTTGCTGAAAGTATCTAGCGCGCTGCTTCTCTGTTTGAAATTGAAGCAGCAACCCCGCCGGCCGCGTCAGTCTGTGAGATCATTGCTCCTGTGTTTAGCATGCCATCAGTCGAGACACGCCCACCAGACTGCTTCGAAGCTGCGTACGACCGAAGGGAGGTGTGACATGGCATGAGCTACCGTCCTTCTACGTCTTCAGCGTCCTGCAAACCGGGCAGGGGGCTTCAGCCTCCTGGCAGGATGAGCGGATGAATGAGGTGGCGATCTGCGCATCGGTTCGCTTTCTTGCCCCACCGCCCCCCACCGTGACCGTAGTGCCCAGTCCTGGTTGGCGGAGGGAACTCTTGACGAACTCCTGCCTTGAAGATGATTGGCTTGTACTCGTCTGGGACTGACCTTAAAGTGGAGCCCTTCTGGGGTGTCGGGCTTAAAGCGGGCTGAGGGGTCCTTTTCCAGGTGTCGTAAGAATACTCCAAGCGGTACTCTTTAAGTGAGATTTGTCGGGCCCCCTCCTTTGTTCAAATCCCCGGGGATGCACAAACAAGGGGTGGGGGGAGGGGAAGGGCAGCACATGATAGCACAGCAAACAGGGGTCAACATTGCTTGGCACTGAAATCGCTGAACTACTGTGGTGTAAACTCAGCCAAGCACCGGTGCATCACCGGGCTGTTGCGGTAGCGAGCGACGTGCGCATCGAAACCCTGGTGTGGACCACTCCAGCTGACTTGGCAAACCTTTCCAGGGCTTTCACGAACTGCGTCGATACCCTTTACTGTCGCCTCACCACCTCGCACTTGTTTAAGGAACTCTCTCGCCTTTGAGGTAGGCAGGCTCCACTTGGAGTAGCCCTGGAAGACCCGGCGAAACGATACCACGTCAGCCTTCAACTACAGTGGAACTGGCGAGCTACTCAGCTGCTGCCTGCATTTCTGATATCTCTCCTGGCACTGCCACCGAGTGTCAGGTCGGACCATGTTAACGAAAGCATAGCCCAGGTTGGCATTTCGGCCAAAGTCGAAGGGCAGGTACGCAAAGTCATATCGGCCTTTAAAACCTGAGAAGCGTACTTTATTCCTCTAGGCTCCCTATCACGCTTAAAGGTTTCTAGGGCTTCGGTGTAAGTATTAAGGCCTTAACGATTTGAGGGCGTAGGGGGTCTGTTTCTACAGGAATGGCCGGAATGTTCTGATGTTTTTTGCGAGCGTCCGTTCTGATCCATCATCTGCAGGAACATGTCCCTGACAGGCTCGCCGCATCAACAAAGCTCGCATGGTACATAGATGGCACTGATATAAATATATATAAATATATATATATATATATAGATAGATAGATAGATATACTTATGCATGTTGTTTATCTTTGTTTATTTGTTTCCTGATATATGTATATATATATACACACAAATATATGCTTTACTTTCGGAAACCTCCACATAATGCCATAATTACAACGCCTGCGATCTTCCTGGCAACCGTAGAGGGCTTGCTCTTATCCCCGTAAATCCATAGCCTTCGAACAAGCCCAAAAAGTCACGACAGACTCCGTAGACCGAAGCTAAAGCCCTTTTTTCGATTCTTTCTTGGGCGATTAGTTTTCGGGTTGGGGGCGGGGGGGAGGTGGGAAAACCCTCTACTTTCTCCATTGTAGGTACGTTTGTACTCGGACACCTCTACAACTTTCTCGGAAACCCTCTAGATTTTCTCTATTTTCGGAGGAAAACCTCCTTTTTCTGAATCCTTCTTAGGATTCGTAACTAAGGTTCATGAGATCCCTCGGCGTGACAACCGCCCGGCAGAGCGAGGGGGGTGCCCAGGCCTAGTCACGAAAAATGAGGGGAAGGACTAGGAAGATCCAAGGCAAAAACCGGGCCTCAACTCTAAACCCACACTAAACCCGAGACAGGCCTCGCGGGCATGAACAGCAAGCTGTGGATTCGTGCTAGCAGCACCACCACACCCCCCAACAGAGGGTCAATGCCAAAGGGCACCACGGGGAACAACCACACCATGAATAGGGAGAGACAAAAAGCCCGACGAGGGCCAGCCAACACGGCAGAAGGTGCACACAGGCCCATGAGGCCAAGCAAGAAACGAAGTCTTACGAGACCAAAAGCGAGGAAAACAGACACAAGACAACCCGACCAGGGCGGGAAGTGGCACCCCATGACCTCCAAGAAGTGACTAGAGGGAGGTGGCAACCAACCTCTCCCTTCGATAAAGCGAAGGCTTTCCTAAGACATAGAGAAGGTCGAGGCTTTCCTCCTAAAATCAAGAAAGCATAAGTAGAGGTTTTTCTAGTAAAAAACATATGCCTGATCCCGACCTACACCCCATCCCAATCACATAAATCCCGCCTGGTGTAGTTGTTGGGCAGATTACGCAGCATGACTGTCGTTCGTTCGTCCTGAGCTTTGGACGAATGACACGCAAACAAAACTGCCTTAATCTCTCGAATCTCTAAACCCTCAACCCTCTGAAGTTGATGACATCATGTGCGACCTGGGCTCGTCATTTGACTGCTCATCATCGCTCCTGGCAACAGCTTGTCTGCTGACTGGCAAGCATCAAAGGTTCTCTTCTTTCTTGTGGCAAGATGTTCGAAGCGTCGTGGTATGTTGAGTCGAACACCAGTGACCAGTCAAGGAAAATGGCGTAAATGGCTCGGTGCGGTGTTCGCGTCATGTTGCACTGGCTTTTGTGGAGCTAGGGACAAGTCTTAGAAATTCCTTCTGCGAGCTCCGTCTATTGGGGTCACCCGCTATAATCGCAAGTTTCTTGTCGGTTCTTGTTTTAGGGTCCGTGGTCTAAAAGTGTCAGGCCATAAGGCCCCTTGGGCTCCAGGAGCCTTCGAGCCTGAAGGCAAGCCCGTCCAGTTGCATCTAAAAACGTTTAGGGTTTAGGGTTTAGGGTTTAGGATTGAGGATCAGAATTACGAAATGAGAGCCCCCGACAAATTTCGAGACAGGCAGGCCTTCAAGGGCCTTCATGTCCTAAAAAGCTTCAGGTTTTAAGGGCCGCGGCTTCAGCCCATCACTGCAGGAAACCTTCGTGCCAAAAGGTTTGAAGCTGTCTAGCCTTCCAGGCTGAAGCCACGGCCCTAAAACCTGAAGCTTTTAGGGCTTTAGGCCGTAAAGGTTTCGGGCCTTGAGGGCCTCGGCTTCAGCTCAGGTCCTCCCCCCCTGAAGTTTGTGTTGGGGGGCTCCCGGGGGCGTTTCTTCAGAGGGTCCCAGATTTCTTTGCGGGGGCAAAAAGGGGGGGCCTTTTCATTAAAGCCAGTTCAACATTAACTGCTACTGACTTCTGCTTCTCAGAGTATCTCAACTACTTCTGAGGCCAACTACAGACATGCACAAACGGGCGAAACCCATTGCGAGTCGCCGGCCCTTAAGGACTTTGGATTTCTTGACAAGTTCTGTCGCCATCAGGTTTCTTTACGCGCATGACGAGCTCGCCACGCTCAACCTAGAGGCATATCAAACAGCCTGCCTCTCCAGAGGCTTATCGGCAACACCTCTACTCACAACACAGGCCTGCGGCAGGCTCTCATCCCGTTTACGATGGTTCTCAACGTGACTTCATGCTTGCTCATACCCTGTTGTTGGGGAATGCTACTGCTGTACGAATGCTGCTCTCAGCAGGGAGGGCAGGGCAGGGAGGAGGAGATGGGAGAGGGGAGGAGAGGGGAGACGCATTCACTCTGCATGGACAGGTGGAGGCCAGAACGCTGCAAAGTGTCTGCGACTTCCTCGTCTGCCCTTCTTCCAAAACTCATTTGCCCCAAAAAACCCGAGCCCTTTGTCTTCGATGACCGAGGTTCCTAACCCCTTTCATTATGCCGGCGCTCCTCGAAGCTTCGATGCCCCGCCCATCCTTCAGGGACAGCGGGAACTTGCAGCCCTCATCCCTCATCTTTATTCTCCCACTGGCAGACCTTAGCTATCTCCGACTTCTCCCTCTCGGGCACCTCTACAACCTCTGTCTTCGATAGCTCCGCCACAGAGCCAGTCCTGGGGCTGTGCAGTGGAGTTGTGCGCTAAACGCAACGCTCCGGCTACTGCAAAGCTGCATCAACATCCAGCAAATGCAGGGGCATGGGATATCAACACACCCTGAAACCCTTCAATAAGAAAGGACGAGCCCCAGCCTGACTTTTATCACACTGGCTGCTGGACGCATCACCCTGAAGGAATCACATCGCTGATACCTTCCAAGGCACGTCTCAGATGTCTGTGCCCGGCTGGCAGAGTCCTCAGAGGGATCACAATCAGACTCCACGTGGAGCCCTGCTAGATGAAGCTACCTAAAACAACTTCGAGCCCGAAAGCCCCCGAAACCCTCAAGACTGAACCAGACAAAACCTTAAACAAACATACAGAACCATAAAAAACATACGAAAAAAGTGTACGAAAAGTGAGACGACGCCGAAGCCACAACAAAAAAAAAAACAACCAAGCCACAACAAAAAACCCAAAAGCCACAACAAACAAAAACTCGGGAGTAACTTCTGGGGGGGGGGTGGGGGGAATGGAACGTGTGAGGCCAAAGCCCGCGAGACCGCAGTTTTGAGGTTTCAGCGTGGTCTCCCAGCAGGTTTTGCTTGTCAATACAGAAATGCAAAGGCCGGAGCCCGGGAGACCGCAGATTAGGGTTTTCGGGAGCTGAAACTGCTGAATCGTGGTCTCCCAGCAGGTTTTGCTTGTCAATACAGAAATGCAAAGGCCCGAGCCGGGAGACCGCAGTTTAGTGTTTTCAGGACCTAAAACTGCTGAATCGTGGTCTCCCAGCAGGTTTTGTTTGAAATTACGGACGAGCGGAAACTGCTGAATCGTGGTCTCCCACCTGCTTTTGCTTGAAAATACAAAGGAGAGAGCCCGGGAGACCGCAGTTTCGAGGTTTCGGGAGCGGAAATGCTGAACCGTGGTCTCCCACTAGCTTTTGCTTGAGAATACAAAGGAGAGATACAAAGGAGAAAGCCTGGGAGACCGCAGTTTCGAGGTTTCGGGAGCGGAAACTGCTGAATCGTGGAACACAACATTCAAGAGAGACACTTTCAAGAGATCTGGAGACCCTCCCAACACAACTTTCAAGAGATCTGGATACCCCCCCACACGACTGTCCAGAGGAGACACTTTCAAGAGATCTGGATAACCCCCACACGACTGTCCAGAGATCTGGAGACACTTTCAAGAGATCTGCCCTCCCAACACAACTTTCAAGAGATCTGGAGACTCTCCGAAAGCCCCCAACACAACTTTCAAGAGATCTGGAGACTCTCCGAAAGATCTGCCCCCCCAACACAACTTTCAAGAGATCTGGAGACTCTCCGAAAGATCTGCCCCCCCAACACAACTTTCAAGAGTTCTGGAGACTCTCCGAAAGATCTGCCCCCCCAACACAACTTTCAAGAGATCTGGAGACTCTCCGAAAGAGCACTCGTGGGGTTCGAGCCCGGGGTTGATGGATCCAAGTCCAAGTGCTCTGCCGTCAAACCAAATGTGGATTGCAAAGTGAGAGGCAACAGCTTCATTATCGTACAAGCAGAGACAGAAGAAACCGAGAAAGTTACCGCTTGGTCAAATAGAGTTGCTGTTTTTTTTCCTCTGCTGCTGTAAAAAGGTTTCTGTTGTTGTTAGACCGCCCACCCTACGAAAAGTATGCAAACAAATTAGACAAAGAATCCTCAAAGCCCTAAACAGAAGCCCCATCCCCTAAGCCCCAGAAAGGCCTCGAGTTGCCCGGGCTCGTAGGCAGCTGGTGCCTCGGCCTCGAGGACAGGATCCTGAGGCTTTGCGGATACCATGGGGATTAACATATATGTACCATCACATATGTATGTATGTAAATATATATATATATGTATGTATACATACGTTAATATAGTCTTATACTATTCTGAGAAATTCCTTTAAAACATATTTTGGTGTGTGTAGAGGCACATATACTAATATATGTATATATATATATGTATACATGGATAAAGAGTTCAGAGCCTGGATCTGCGAAGCTCCAAGCTACTGACAAATCGGGATGCTCACACGGCTGCAGCCACGGGGCACTTTGCGCCCGGCGTAGGGATTTAAACTGCTGTCGGGCACCTGGCCACCGGCCAGCTGCGTGAAGGCGCAGGGCTTATGACATTATGAATGATGGGGAGGTTCTCCTACCCGATGGCAAGTAGAGGCTCCGACTTGGAGGGTTCGTTTTACGTGTGCTAGATTCACTACTGTCTTTTGGCGTGCTGCCGCTCTCTCTTGCTGGGATGCAAGAGCAGCAGGGTGGGGAACGTGGCTATAATGCCTCATGAGCTGTGTCGGCACACAGTATTAGAAGGGTACTGGAAGCATTTTTCATAAGAGCTCAATGACTTTCGAAGGGCCTTCTTCCTCCTGCTGCAAAGTGTTTTCCGATCGAACATTGCTTTCACTCCCTTTTTCATTTTCAACAGTCGCTACCCCCTCTTTGCAGATTTGGTGCTCAACTTCTCCCATGTCGCTAGCGACCAAACATGTCTCAGTGAAAGCCTTGATTCAATTCACGGAGAGGTGATTGTCCTTCGGCGGCTATGGGGTGTGTTGCGGAATGCAGTACAACCCACTCCACACCCAAAACAAACGATGAACAGGGTCCATGCGCCCGCCCCCACAACAAAAAACAACGGATTTTGTGCAGCTGCATTGCATTCTTGTTTCGCACGTCGACTTCCCATCACTTCCAGTATGAAGCATTGCAGATGAATTTAGACTTTGTTCTACGGGCTTAAGGCTAGTTCCTAGTCCAGAATGGTCTTCAGTGGATTTTGCAGAGTCTTTCTTTGCCGGGTTCTGTAGCTTCTTACGTTGAACAAGGGGTCAAGAGATGCTTACGGCTCTTGACGGGCTTTCCATCTTCATTGCATTTGATTCCAGGGATCTCTGTTGGCTTGTTGAATGGTAGTCCATCGGTGAAGGGCTTCCAGGTCGCCAGTTTTAAGGGCGGCTGTGCTAGAGTGGGCTCCATACCTTCAAAGAAGCAAGCACCATCCACACTCGCTGGAGCTCCCCTGCTTCGCTTGCGGCGGGATGCGTGGAGCCATCTACACTTCATTTCCTACAGAACTCAGGAACCCTCGCAAACAGGCGGGTGCGCTGAAGCCATCCATGACATCCAGGAAGGTGCTCTTGACGACCAGCTGCTGGTTGCGGGATTCGACCTTCTCCTTGCATGTATGTTCTGTCTGCTCTGGTTTCACGCGCAGTAACAGTCAGTGAAAGCCGACAGCTTACCGGCAACTATCCGCGCATGAAGCAGGGCAACGCCCGTCAGTCACGGTCCACAATATGATCACAATATGCACGAAAGAGCTGGACCGCGATTTCGGAAACCCCCTGGCATGCAAAGAAACATCGGAAGCTCCTCGGGCTCCTCGGGCTGGGCTACGTCCACGGCATCCTCGAAGCAGTCCTCAAAGCAGTCCTCGACTCCCGGATGATCCTGCTCGGCGGATGTGATACTGATCTCGCTGAACTCGCACACAAACACACAAGCTGGGAGCATGACGCAAACGAAGCACAAGCTGCTGTCCTCCGCTGGGTTCCGGGCGCCAGCTCTCTCCGTGAACATGGGCACTATCCGCGCCCAAACTGCGCGAGAGCTGCTTCCGAAGCTTGGGCCAAGCGGGCACTGGCACGAAGCCGCTTCCCAAATAATTTTCAAGATTTCGGGCAAGCTCAAACTGATGCCGTCCGGACACCAACACGAGGACGAAAAACCGATTTCGAGTCCATACCATGTCGTCTGGTCTCGTGAAGCCTCAATCTCCTTCCTGAAAGGAGCTTGTGGTTCCGCCTAAGAGGCGGGCGACGGCCGCTGTACAGTACCAGCCTAGCATGCAGACCCCCTTTTCGGGCCCTGCCTAATTTTGAAGCAATCAGAAATGGCTTTAATTCATGTCAGTGCAATTTTGTGCATGCAACGCCTCAGCCTGCTGTATGGCCAAGTGCTTGGCGCCTCCAAGATCCTCCTGAAATCTAAAGCTGTACAATAGCACATAGGCGCGTCCAAGACATCCAGGGAAATGCTTCCAAAAGATTGAGCTATGCAGTACCCGAGATTTGCAGTGCACATGCCTCAGCACCCCATGGGACCGATTTTTTTTAACATGTCTTGGCACCCTGAGGATGGGGATCGCGGTGCAATGCACCGGTTGTTGCAAGGTGGTCGCAGGGAGATTGGCTTTGCCAATCGACTGCATTCCGACTCGAGAGCGAACAGACACCTTTTGAACTGCTCATCTAGTCATAGTCAGAGTCTGGCTATTTCTGACTTGGCCTGTCAGAACCGATGAACAGCTTAACATACCCCAAACTCATACTCTTAACCTTGCTGAGCGGAGAAGTGAGGGGAGATACTAGCATGCCCCTGAGTTTCTTTCAAAGGGGTATGGCCATGTAGTGTTGATTACTTAGACTGAAGTTGGTGCGCCGGCATGACCAACTCACATCAAGCTGTGCACCACCCGCGTCGCCATCAGTCGGGGTCTCTCAACCGGTGGGACCCGGTGGAATTTGCAAGGGTACGATGCTGCACAGGCACTTAATGCCTCTGGTCTTGCCACGGCCACAGCACATTCTGTCAAAGATATTGCAGAGACATTGCTTTGAGGGAATGCTTTAAGCTGCAGTTGCGCTGCTTAAGTGTGCAAAACCATCAAGTGCTCAACGCACCCAACAGAAGGGGAGTTTGAAAATTGAAGGCAGCCCTCAGCAAAAACTATCAAGAAGCATTTGGCCTGACACACGGCCACCAATGCTTCTTGTGCACAGAGCTAGTTAGTGAAAGACGAGAAACTCATGATTGAACATCCACCACAATGTGCCAAATGCGCTGGCAGCCTCGAAGGAACGCGCTGCCAGCATCAGCATGCACTGCGAGAAGTGTCCCTTACCTTCCTGGCCTCAGCTTCATGGCACCCCCCGCCAGAAGGCTCGCACAGTCGAAAGCTGGCATCATGGCTGACAAAAAACATGCCACGATGCCCGGATCCCAAGCAAACAAGCAAAGCAGACGTAGTCCCGGCAATCATCTGCCCAAAGCCTTGGTCAGCCAGAGAGCAGTCTCACAAGCTGTCGCAGTTGCAAATCCTTGAGCACGGTGCCGGTAAATCAAGTCAAGCCAAGTCAAGCCAAGTCAAGGCAAGGCCCAAAACCATCCGAAACCTCCAAAGCCTCTACATCAACACCACAAGCGCTGCGTCCCCGTGGCTGGGCGCTTGATCTTGCGAGTGGGTGCAGGGAAGCGCTGGCGCACACCGTTGCTGAGGATGACGGGCTTGTACTCGTCAGGGACACTCCTGGGTTTATTTCCTATAGCGGGGTAAAAATTTATAAAAAAACGTGTATATTAGGGGAACCCAGATGTAGAAGATGGCACACAAGAGCTCGATTCTCCGAGTCTCTTGTGCATCACCGGGCTGTTGCGGTAGCGAGCAATGTGTGCAGTCAGCCCTTGGTGTGGGCCACTGAAGCCAACGCGGCAGACCTGGAGAGCAAAGCAGGGCCAAGGTAAGGCGCTTTGGGGCTTGGGCATGCCTGGAGGAGCCCTCAGCCAACCCTCACCCAACCCTCAACCAACCCTTAACCCATCTCAACCCTCAATTTCTCCCCCCCCCCGGCAACTCCCAGAGTCCTTGGCTGTCGGCAGCTCCCAGTCTACAAAGCCGTCGAAGGCTCCCCAGAAGTCGTCCACGATGTCCTAAGCTGAGGGGGCTGTGACTTTGGAGTTTAGGGTCTGGAGCTTGGGGCTTGGAGCTCAAAAGGGCTTGGAGTTTAGCCTCTTAACCCAATTGTTGGGTCTTCTGACGACTTGCTCTGGGCTTCCTTGTAACATGCTTACCTTAAACCCTGCACCCTCAACCCTTCAAGAGGCCAAGGTGTGAACCCTTGCAAGTTCCCAGCTCGCATCTCTGGATGGATAACAGGTGACGCCAATCACCTGCTGAGCCTCTGCTTCCACCAAGTTCACAAAGGCATAGCCAAGGTTGGACTTGCCTGGTCATCTCAAAACATAGCAGATCGGATCGTGTCACTTGCAAGATGCGCAGTCTACAGCATATCGCTGATGCATGCGATCTGCTATACACATGCATGCATAATGTATATATATATGCACACACACAGCTTGCCACGGTAAGGTACCCCAAAGCGCCAAGCGTGCAGCACGGCTCCCTAAGAACTTGCATGTCTGATAAGATCAAGCTGCGAGCAAAATCGCAGGGCAGGTAGACAAAGTCGTACTTCGCACTAAAGCCACGGGAGTCGAGAAGCTCCAGCAGCATTCGCCTTTCGCAGGCAATCTGGGCAACATGTTAATGCTGTGCGGCAAAGTCCCAGAAACGATGTCAAGCTATTCTCAGCGACCTCCTGCATTGTTGAGATTGGCCCGCTTCTTCTGTGAAAGTCAGGCCTTGTGTAGTTGTTCGGCAAATTTCGCAGCATCATCGTCGTCCGACCATTGGCCTTCGACTTTGGCCGGGATGAACGGGCCAGGCACCATTGACGCTAACCGTTCTAACCTTCAAGGTGAGGAGTGGCCTGTCATGACCCCATACAAGGCCCCTGAGCTGAGCATGGGATTAAAACGACAACGCGTTCAGACGAAAAACAGGTGCCAAAGGAGACGAATCTCTCGCACGCCCTTTTCCCACGCTTTCCCTTAAATCCCGTGCAAAAGCCAGATCAAGTAAGTGAGGACCAGGTCCGCTTGCTTGCACGCGGTCGAGATTGCAGCTCAGGTTTTGCACAAAGGGCCACGGCTTCCGTTTGCAAGCAGCTCGAAGCTGCGCGGAGCTATAACTAACGGACATAACAGACAAGTCTGTATATGAACTTCTTATTGCTCCATGCCAAGTTTAGAGGCCACCCAGGTAGTCCCAGAATCCAGAATCTCAGCCTAACCCTAAACCCTAAACCCTAAACCCAGATTCAAACCTAGGACCTAGCAGGCGCCTTGGCGGTATCGCTGGAAAAAGCTGGTGCCGACTCGGGGCAGTCACTGCTGGTCCTCGTCATGTGCTTGTGTCTAATAATTATAGTCGAAATAATGGCAATAATAGCAATAAGAGCAATAATAGCAATAATAGCAATAATAGCAATAATAGTAATAATAGTACTAATAGTAATAATAATGATAATCATAATAATACTTGTATCAAGTAAGGGAGCTCGCTGCATTTTTATTGGAAGGCCCGACTTGCAACCGAGGATCTCTCCAGCACCAGCGTGGTCAGTCTGGCTTTGATGCTGGCTCTGTTGGCTTTGCGACTCCTGCTGTGCGGCTTCGGAACAATACGGGAGCAGGTGGGTCATCAACATCAGCTCCTGATCTTGCTCATCGCTGAACTGACCAGGCTTGTACACCGCCCCTCCGGTGTATTTCATGAAAGCTGGATCCTTGGCCGCGGGGCAAAGCCAAAGCAAGAGGTGGCTGAAAATACCAGACATGAGTGGCACGATCCCAACGAACAAGAGAAAAGGGCCAACATGACAAAGGAATCCAAATGAAGCGCACCGGCACTTAAACTCCATGAGGAATAGAAATTTAGATCTTTAATACTATCCTAGCCACGCACCCGTGTGTCCTGCATAGGTTGAGGCTTTGGTGCTTTGGGGGGGTGCTCAGCTGAGCGCAGATGCAAGTATCCCTTTCGGAACATGGGTTGGGGTCTGTACCATCCTCCAAAATAGAATAAGGTTGGGTTCACAACTTCCCCCCCCCCCCCCCCCCCAGCATGGCTCGGCACACATCGAGCAGCAACGGCTTCTGCATTTACGTGTGACGCTATAAACGCGGAAGTCCCCCCTGGCAACGCGTTGCACGTGGCAAGTCCTCATCAATTCCAGTGCAACTCATGCATGTCGCCGAACGCCCGATGCAATGCTACACCCCAGCATCCATCCCAACACGCCAACCACTCACCCACAGCAGAACGACTATCTGCTATTAAGCAATTGTATATGACTCGGATTGTTCTCAAGCTCAGCCAGGAGTCTGAATATGCTCGGCGCATTCGCCGGCATTGTTCATCCAAGCCTTCTTACAATTTGGGGTATCGGGTCGGACATCTTTGGTGTCCAGGGTTTGCTGCGTGGTGCCAGACACCCAAAAGCGTTCCCAGCATGACTTTGGCTGGCCAGAGCGCCACCCAATGTTTGAAGCGAATTGCCAGCCTTTACTCCAACGAGTCGCCAATGCAGCTGAAAGGCTTTCACCTTCCTGGACGTCCAAGAAGGTGTGCTTCACCACTACGGAGTGCTCGGTGTCAATTTCATCCTTCCAAAAGGCACGCCTCGCTCATCCCTGGCACACCCCAGACTCGCTAGTATAAGAATGTTCTGCACCTGTCCGCAAAGGCGGCCTGGTGCGAGTCGGGCGCAATTGTGTCTGCAGACTTGGAGTGGGCTGTCGACATCGCACACATCACGTGCTGGCTGTGGCCGCGCGTCCTGACCGGTGGCATCGCTGCAACAGCAAGGCTGGACAACGCAAGTGGCAATGGGATTAGAAGCTCAAATCTCCCTCACAGCAGAAACCTTTCATGTGCTCTGAGATGCTGCGCAACTCCGGTGCCTGGACCCGGCCGTAAACTGCCAGGCTGGTGGTTTGAGCGGAGAAGCGAAGGCACGTCCGCATGGTCTTTCCTTTTGATTTGCATTGAGTTGCTCTGAAAGTTGTCCCAGTTTGACTGTGCAAGGCGCAGATTTTTAAGGCGCTCTGGCTATACGTCTAAACTTGCTGAATTCCGGGATTGCTACGAAAACCGTAGGGCCGTAGGCCGTAGGTTGAAAAGGTTGCGGAGCCGTGCACGGTGCTTTACAAGTGCTCCGCAACTATGGCGGCCTCATGACACAGGCTGTTTCGCCCCTTATGTGGTCATGTTGCAGCGTTTGGGTAAAGGAAAACCACTCACTATACAGTGTGGACAGTGTGGTCTTGCTCCCACGCACTGCGCCCCAAAACTGAGTGGAAAGAGGTGACCTTGCACACTCACAGCGCTCGAGATGCATGTGCCCTGAACTACTCGTCGCCTTCTTCGGACTTCTGCAAGACAAATGCCGGCATCACTAAACACTCGCGACATCCATCGAGAGCGCGCCACTAGCAAGCGGCCGCCACAAAGGTTTCAAAAGTCAAGGGCCATGCCATGATCATGCGCATTGTCCTCGGCTTCACTGTCCAACTGATTCACGACACACGTCTTTCATCACATGTAGTGACGCGGCGTGTGAAAGCTCGAGAAGCGCAGGCAACCTTTACAACCGAACTTGTTTGATTTCTCGGAGGCAAACCTTCACCTTCTCAGCGTTTCTGGATGAAGTAAGCTGCTATCCCCTAAAGGTTTTTGCAACGGGGTACAGCTCTAGCGAAGACATTGGCGGACCTATAGCAACTACAGCAACTTGTCTGGAAGGTCAGGGTTCGCACTAGCCAAGCACCGCAAACTGAGCTTGGCTGTTGCACAAGGGTCATAGAATCCAGGCTGAAAAGCAGCTGCAAAGCAATGCACATTTAAAAAGAGAGAGAGATACATATATGTATATATACGTGTATCTAGAAAATATTCATATATACGTATATATATATATATATATACGTATACATATATGTATATATATATATATGGGAACAACACAAAAAGACACTATTTGATACTATAAAGATACTAAGATACCATGAGATACTATACGCCTTTGAGCACAGGTCCTGCCCAGGCGCCGCATGTTTCTCCTCCGACTGCCTACCGAACCAGACCATCGTGGACTCTCTCACTCGTCGTGTGATCGAATGGGGGCGCCTACTTTCCCTGCCTGTGCCGCCAAGGACACCCTCCGCAACGAGCTCCGTGAGCCCATCCCCCGATTCCCTGAAGAGAGGCTCGCGGCAACAAGCTGCGGGAGAGGAAGTGTCATGGAAGTAACCTACCGTACGGTAAAGCTCCACGTCTCGGATTCATGACGAGCACGTGCCAGCATTGAGCTTTGTCTGTCCAGTGCGTCCAAGGTGCCGTTGCTTGTGGGAGCTTCTTCTGTACAAGTAAACAAAATTGCCTCAGCCCATGGGGGGCAAAGGTCGCGTCAGCCAGATCGGACGCAGCACCATCATGCACCAAATAGAGCACACGTTGGCAGCCGCGTGACGGCTAGCGTGTGTTCTTGGTCGGAGCCTTCAGCCTCCTCGTCGGCGGGGGGAAGGGAACCTGACCAAGCAAACGAATCCCAGGAGCGCAGTGTGCAGTGAGCGAGTACTTCAGTGGAGCTTGGAAGCACCTGCTCACCGTGCATGAAGATCAGGGGCTTGTACTCTTCCGGCACACTCCTCTGGGTCTGTTGTACTTGTATGTTGTATAGCGAACCATGTCGGGGATCCTAAGCCCGGAGCATGAGCTGTGCCAAGACTTGCCCGGATCCTGCATTAAACCACAGCCAGTCCTGTGCATGACTGGGCTGTTCCGGTACCGTTCCACGTGTGCTTCGAAGCCTGCCATGCACGGCAAGCATCCCACAATGCGAGAAAACAAGCCCGAATGTGCAGGCTCGGGCTTCTGAAAGGGGAACAAAAAGCTGAAGAATACTCACATCATTATTTAAGACTCTTTGTGTTCGGAAAACCAAGGGAACCAAGACCGAAGAACACTCGAAATGATGATGATTCGACCCGAATGGACGCGTATCTCGCAATACTCGGCTGGCCTGAAGAACATTCCGGGTCCTGTCGGTTCCGGGGTCCAATATCGCTGAAAACCCTTAAGCCGTAAACCTAAACCCTAAACCGGAATGTCCTTAATTCCTGGGGATGTGAAGCTGAAGCCTCGGGAAGTAGACTTGAAAATTCTCCACCTCAAACCTGCAGGCCTACATGACCAAACAGAAGGCCTTGGTGAGGGCCACTCCAGGTTACCTGGCCAACCTCCAGGGAAGTTGATGGATTTGGGGTTCTTGGGTTGAGTTGATGCGTTTCACACAGGTTTCAGGGGCGTTCAAGGACTGGATTTAGACAGCGGGGGGTTTTTAATGGGTTTGGGGTCCGTGGTGCCCTGAACATCCCTAAACCCCCAAGGGCCAGGAGCCTTTGCTGTTGGGATGGCCCAGGACGAGAAGCCCTCAAAGGCGTTCCAAAATGCCTCCACAGATTCCTTGGGAGGGTCTTCATACAACACGCGAAAATAAACATCATGCATCAAGAAGGTTCATGAAGCGCGCTTCCCTGCGTGATCAAAAAAAGGCTGTAATGTTGTAGCAGAGCGTGTTGAGGTTAGCTAGCGCATCATTCTCCTACACGGCTGACAACGCTTTTTGCAGTGGTGCAATGGGCAACCCACACCACGCGCTGCATCATCTGCACAGTCTGCACGTACATGAAGGTGAAGAGACGCTTTGGACTCCAGCCCACGATGCAAATCCGTGGGCCCTTTGTGCAGTCGCGGATCGGAGTCTACGAGGTTGATGAAGGCGTAGCCCAGATTTGAGTCGCGCTGGAAATCGCATGGCAGGTAAACAAAGTCGTAACCTCAGTCAGACGCGAATCATGCAAGGATCCAGCCGTCTCCTCCGGCCTTACGGAGCATGGGGAACCAGAGAGTGGGATGCACCTTTAGCATATCATCTGTCGACCTCACCTTGCAACGAAGCTTGCTTGTGGAGGCCCAGTAGCGGGCGTGGAATCCAGTCTCCGACAGCAGCTGCAAAAACATCTGCCTAAGCAGATATCCCATGGTCGTCGCACTTATCAAACGCAAGTGGTGGCGAAAGATGATAGTTGCAAAGCAAGCACAAAGAGGAACACAGCGCCTGGCCTTGTGTAGTTGTTTGGGATATTCCTGAACAGCATCGAATTCAAGGGCAGTAACCTGATGTTCCTGAACATCACAGTTGTCCGTCCAGGCTCCTCAACATCACGGTTGTCCGTCCCGACTGCGTTTCCCGGCTAGGCTGCGCCACCTTTCGGGGAGGCGACTCGATCCTCGGTAGCAGGCTCTTCGGCTAACCACGGTATCATCATCGAATGCTTGTCCAAGTTGCTGACCCACGATTCCCTGAATCTCAAATTTTGAACGTTTTTTGTGCCAGGTTACACTGGCGGGATGGGCGACTGCGCCGCCCGCTCTGACTTGACCTTCGCCACGGCGATTGTCGCGTGTCAATTGCAAGACTATTTCCGCCTGCAATTTGCCGAGGCCCCAGGCTCAAAGGCGCTGTTTTGGCTGGGGCTTGTGGGGACTAGCCCGAAACCGGGGGCACAACGGTGGAGGCTAGGGCACCTTGGGAAGGCCCTATGCACCCCCTCTGGACCCCCTAGATCTATGTGGCAAGCACCTCGGCTGTTTTACTAAAATATACTAAAATTAGTTTAGTTTTTTTCAAACCTCCGGAGCTCCCACAGCTCTTAGACACGGCGCACTTGGGCAGTGGAAGAAAAGTAACGTGGCTCTCGGGGAATGGCCTTTCTTCAGAACAATGCCCCAAGTTCATTGTGAACAGCGGATGCACGAATCATCGGCTTTGCTGCGCTCAGGGAAGCGAAAACATGTGAACAACGTCTTGGTCCGGGCTGCACCTCCACAAATTAGTTGTGGTGTTTACACGTTGCGGCTCTTTGTTTTCGTTGAAGCATGTGACACTTGCCACTTTTGGCGCTGCTTCTAGTTAAGGGTTTAGGACGTGAAGTTTAGAGTGCATACATGCATCCCGCTTTTGGGGCCAGGAGAGCAGTCGACCGATATTCGTCTAGCAGCACTGTCGCCAGTTTTGGAACGGCCTGCTCGCGGTCTTGGGTGTGTCTTCAGCTCTTTGGGGTTCATGATGGTTCCAGTTTTCTTGTGTCTCGTTCCTCGACCCAGCCCGACGGTGCGGTTTTGTCAAATCCGAGGACATCCCGTAGCTTGGGCCGGGCTTCCGTGACGGCTGGCGCAAGCGGTTACAATAACATGCATGCGCATTACTGCGGAGGCCTCCGGCAAGGGACGCCGGTCCAGCTCCGAAATAACAATCTCCGGCTCCTCGGCAAAGCCACAACACTGCAACAAGGGGGGGGTTCTGATTCTGAGGGCATTCTTGTAAGGGCTCCTACTCTCGGAGAATTCTAAGAGACCAACTTTAAGCACCCCTTCTACATGGAGGTGTCCACAAGTCTATCTCCATCTTGCCAAGTCTCGCTGTCACACTCAGCTAGGACGGAGTCCTGATCAGGGCAGCGGGAAGACGGTCCCTGGATGTCCCAGGTGCTCTCACAGAAGATGAAAAGCGAAGGACATGGAACTGTGAAGCAGTCGACAAGCAACAAAAGCGCCGTCCGTCTTCAGCTTGCGGATCTTCTTATACCGCTGCATCATGCCTCTAACTTGCAGCGAAAGAACATGCTTTGGCTGGCTGGTTCTTAGTAGGGAATGAGGGAATGAGGTACCCTATATAATCCCTTAAAGGGTATAGGGCCCTATAATTCCGGGTTGAAGGACTCGCGAGCCGACGGCTCAGGGACAGCTACTCGGCTTGGCCACTTTTCGGGAGCGCGAATCGTTGTGAAAGTCTTTAGCCAAAGTGCTTGAGCCGTCTGTCAGCTCAATGAAGGTGCCCTTGACAATCACATGGCGGCTTGGGGTCTCGTCCTCCTGCTGCTGACATTCAGATTGCAGGGCGCATGAGATTCTGGATGCTTTCCACCCGTGCAAGGGTGTGTCCTCGTCTGGTTCTACCTCCGCGAGTCTCCTACACCGGGAGCTCATTTCACACAGCGCAGTGGTCAGCAAAGAATCTGGCTACGAGCCCATTGGCGAACAAAGCTTCACGAAGCCGTCAGAGTCGGCCGGCGATTTTTGTACTGGCCCTGGCTAGGTGTAGATTTAGATAGTCTTTGCAGGAGTTCGCCAATACGACCATCTCATACATTGGCACCCTTTGACCCTTTGGGCTTTTTTTAAACTTTGAAGCTCAAGACTTCCGGCCTCGGCGAGCTGCCTGGGGTTGTTTCGACCTCGCTGACCTCATCAGCCTTCGCTGCCTCGGATCTCTGTGGGGGCTCCAACGTATCGATTGGCAGATGTTTCACAAAAAGTTTGTTCCTGGCATGTGGCAGGCATTTCTTGGCCTCCGGCTGAGACAGCACCTAGTTCGGCGAACAATGCAGAGGACATGTCGGACGCGGACGCTATGACCAAGACACGCTCCGAGCCAAAAAGACCCTCACTGACCAGGGTTCCTCAAGTTTCCTCCAGAGCTCCTCACAGTTTCTCATGCTCGCCAGTGCTCGCCACTCACGGGCCTTTGATCTCGCTGGTCAGATTGCTCCGTGTCAAGCTTCGGATGGTTCGGGCGGCCACAACTGTTCGGCAGGCCACACACACACACACACACACACACACACACACACACACACACACACACACACACACACACACACACGCATACACAAAATACGCAAAGCCTTTAAAGCGTCTACTGAAGGCGCGATCAAAACTTGACCACTTCTGGAGCTTCCGTGAAATGTAAAGCCGTCATCCCTTGGAAGCCCTCTGAGCAGGCCCTCTACAGCATGCAGAGTTTGCAGAGGCTCCATCACATGCCACAGCAACTGCTATGTAACTAGAACCAGGAAGCGTAAACCGTAAATTACCCCTCAAAGTTGCTTGCGCAGCTGCGCAAGATGAACACAAGGCTGGGCATGTGAAAGACCCCTGGCAAAGGAACCGAGACCATTGTCGCCGGTCGGCAGACAAAGCAAACGAATTTGATTTTCAGATGTGGCCCATGTGGCTCAAAGACTTGCGGAACTGCATGTTCCGATTGGACAATTCCTACGTTTCGAACAGACCGGAGCCGGGATCACAGAGCAGGTAGGGGCATGCATGGTGCTGGCGGTTCAAACAACAAGCAAGTGGAAATGCTTTGGAAGAAAGTAAGTGCTTACTGCTCGGACTGCAGTGCCCTGCCTCGAGCTGTTTTACAGCAAACCCAGCTCAAGAACTTTAGCTGCTTTATCTCTCAAGTTGACTCTCAAGTGCCAGTTTGCACCTTGCTCTTTCGGCCCGCCACTGTGCCAAGCCGAGTACAACCCGCAGCGCAACTGGGCCTAGCAGGCGACGCCTGACAAGGTCTTTACAATCTTGAAACCCCTTCACGGCAGCTGACAGCTGGCACAATCACCCGAGCAAGAGCTCGAACTGCTGAAGCATCCCTTGCTACATGCTGTGCATAGTGACATAACAGGACATGTATAAGAGCATGGAACCAGCGAAGCATGATGTGTAGCAACGGAGAGACTCTGACAGACTGTTACTTCCGACTTTCCAGAAACTTAGAGTTCCTTTGTTTTCAGCTTCACCCGCTCTCACTAGGGGTGCCGTTTCGTCAAACTGCAAGCCTGAAAACTTCAACTTTGACCATGCTGCAATGCTGGCACGCATCTGGTCAAAAGAAACCAAAAATGTGGACTGTCCGTGACCCTGCAGGAACTGCATGACCTGCTCTGCACATGTTAGACCTTCGACTCTCGCCGAACGATGTTGGAGACCTATGAAGAACTAGCCGCTTGCTTATGCTCTGCGGTCCACAATGGTCATGTACTGAGAGTTTGTGTAGTCCGCTCTACTCCAGTCGCCATGTGCAGAGCTCTATCCGGAGGTCTTGAAGGCGAGGAGTCCCTTTGTCTGCAAGGTACCAAGTGCAGCTTCGGTATGTCTGGGTTGCTCCTTCCTTCAGAGACCTCCTTTTGTAGTTGCTATAGCCCTGCCCTGGTGCAAGCAGTGAATTTGTCACCACGGATTCTGGGGGGTGTGCCAGAACCAACGGGAGCTACTGCAGAAGCTCATGGTTGCACGGCCAGTGCCCCCGAAACCAAACTGCCATCCACATCAGCGCTGATGACCCGATGACCCCCCTTTTTCGTCACCCACGACTCCCCTTTCCAGGAGGGCGAAGCTTGCGCGTTGGTGCCGGAAAGGGTTGGCGAACACCAGCAGCGAAAACAACTGGTTGGTATTCGTCCGGGACGCTCCTGAGACAAGCGCTTTGACATTTGCAAGTGAATGAGTACAGCCATCTGGCGGCGCGAATTCCTGACTTAGCTCTAGTCGAGGTGCGAGTGCATCACTGGGCTGTTCCGGTAACGCTCAACGTGGGCTGCTAGGCCCTGGTGCGGTCCACTCCAGCTCACGCGGCACACCTGCCCACAGGGAACACCGAATGGTCAGCTAAACCACACGTCTACACTACACTACACGCTGCACAGTTCTACGCAGGCTTCAGCTTCAGCCTTTGCCGAAGGCAAGGCCCAAGTGGAGAATCCGTCTAAGATCTGCCAGAATCTGGAAGCTGTCTCCTTAGAACCATCCAGCAACGACAATGTGACCTGCCACGCAGACATGAACACTGCAACATGATGCCACTAAGGTGCCTCATCTACCAAATTGACAAAAGCATATCCCAGATTTGCTCGTCGCTCGAAGTCGCATGGCCTCGGCACGCTGCCGGGCATGCTGTTCATGTTTTGCTCTTGTCGAGGCCCAATCTGCACCAAGAGACAGGTACGCAAAGTCGTAGCAGCCAGAGAAGCCGAGCTTGTCCAGAAGGGTCAACAACATGTCCCTGCACAAGCCACACAGTTGTGAAATGGCCCAGAGGCAAGACGAATTGCATGATTCCGACATGGGGTCGTCTCACTTCTGCGGCACTGCACTTAGCAGCGTCGATCGTTGCCAGCTTTACAAAGAGACAATGCAAATATATCCAGCGCACACAGAAGCAGGAGCTGACAGGTGCGAAGGCAGTAGGCAGCCGACATATGTGAAGAACAAGCAGAACAGCACAGAAGACACAGAACAGTTTTGCGACTCAGGCAGCATGTGGCGGTCCCCAGGAAATACCTGGAGTAACACGCAGAGGCACACATAGACTGGTAGAGAGAAGGTGAGTTTTCCCGAGGGTGTTATCCAGGTGATGTCACATCCTGTTTCGACCGAAAAGCACGAAGAGATATTGGATGCTGAGATGGACAACGAGCCTTTGAGCGAGGGCACTGGAGACAGAGCGGTAAGGAGAGAGAGAGAGAGAAAAAAAAAAATAGGAAAACAACAAGAAAAGTAAGAGAGAGACAGAGAGCGAGGGGTTTTTGAACATACTCGGACGGAGAGAAAGACAGAAAGAATCAAGGAAATAAATCCAAAACAGAAAGAACGAAGGCCCCACACCTGGACTGTCAGCTGCTGGGAGGAGTTCACTAAGACCCCAGAGCTGTGACCCCATTGAAGGCCAGAATTCCACCGACAGGCGCTGGCCTGAAACCCATCTGAACCGAAGCCAGCTTCCCGAAACCCCAAAGAGCCCCAAATCTCAACCCAAGCCGTAAGCCCAAACTCAAGTTGAGCTGAAGGGATCCCTGCGCAGAAACTTTCCCTTTTAACACTGGATCAGGCCGCCTAATCAGGCCCAAAGCCTAGAACATCCAAGCCTTGGAACCAAGAACCGATGTCAACCCCAAACCTCAGAACCTGACCCTTCGTCACTGTGTCAAAGCACCGTGTTAACCATGCCAGGAGCAACCCATGAGCAACAAAGGAAAATGTCCTGGCAGTGCCAGAAGGAACTCAGCCTGCTGTAGTTCAACGGCAGGTTTCGCAGCATGACGGTCGTCTTCCGCTCGACGTCTTCCTCTTCGACCCCAGCAACGGCACTGGTCCTCGGATGCGGTTCTACGAGGAGTGTTTGGGGTAGTGGGCTGTTTTAGGGGGTTTCAGTGGGCTGTGGAGTTTTCAGGCCAAGGAACGCCACATCGTGGCATGAACTGCACTGCAACTACACACTTAAAGGAAGCTTACAGTACTAGAGGCCTAAGTATACTCTTCAACTCAGTGGCACTTCCGGGCAGTCCCGATCCGAGGTCTCCTGCAAATCACATCTCTGATGGGGTGTGTGACGTTCGAGATCTGAAGAACTCGTCGCAGCTATTTGGAGCAATCTTTGCGCACCCCTTCGACCTGGGATTCCATTCGCTCATCGCTGAACTTGCCCGGATGGTAGACTTCGGTCTCCATCAGCAGGTCGATGTCGGACTCCTCCACTCACTGGAAAAAAGTGCCCCCCGAGTCTAAAGCGAATGGGCTCCTTTACGTCTGCCTGACGTGCTGGGTGTCTGGGGTGGGAGAGAGGGAGCAAGCTTGCCAGGACCTCCCCTCGCACCTCCCCGACGGGACACAGCTTGGGCCTTCCTGCATTCAAGCAGTGAACCTCTCACACCCCCCGCCTTCCCCCCCTGCATGTTCGACTCGTGCAGCCTACAAGGTGACGCTAAAAGCCCTGAAGACCACGAAAACCCCTCAGCCCTCAAACCTTGATTGTCGTGCAAGACCCCCAGAAAGCCCTCAAGCCCTCGAAGCCCTGAGAACAGACCCCCAGCCCTGAAACCCTAACCTTTAAAATTGCAGACTAGGGGGGCCCGAATCGTTAGTGTGAGTGAGTCGGAATCCATTGGAGTGGTCGGAAAAGCAAACTCGCCCATTGAGGCACGTCTGCTCGAGTCGGCACTCCTTGAATCGCGCGTGCTTGAATCAGGATTCGTGCTGGAATCGCGCCGTGCATGAATCGCACGCGAGTGTACATTTAATCGGAGTTTTGCGCTTTCAAAAATACACCCCGAACCTGCCTCCTGAAACAGTACGGGTTTGGGGTTTAGGGTTTGGGGCAAGCATGTCTCCGTTTTGGCTTTGCGCAGCTCACGGTACAGCCGTCGGCAGTCTTTGCCATCATCCAGGTCGAGGAATGTGCTCCTAACCTGAGTGCGAGACGCGAGAGACATGCACACGGAGCAGGGGTTGCAGTGTTGTGTCTTCAGGCTCAACTTCAACTCGATACACATAAAGGGCTGTAGATGTGCACCATTACTGCTGCTCCCATCATGCACCTACTTGCTGTCTGGCATATGCCGAGGTAGTTTCTAATTGGCGAAGAGGCCCTGCGTGTTGATTGCTAGACCACAAGGCCTCTGTACCTTGAGTTGCCGCCCAGGCACAACCAAACTACATCCACCCTGCGAGGTGCAACACTTACATTTACATTCACGTGAAGTTACATTGCGCAACCGCTCAAATCATTGCGGCGGCGTCAAGCAGCACGAAGTTCTTTAGGCTCTGGGCCCCTTGTCGCCCTTGCCCTGAGCAAACCCATCGCAGGGTGGTACGATCCCAACTCTTCGATTGCTCTGAGAGAAGAGGTCGAGAGGCCTGGCATGCGTCAGCCATGTCTTGGCCCAAGGCCCCAGCTGGCAGCTGGCAGGATGTGCAGCCAAACAGCTTCCGGAAAGCAAACAGGGTTTAGGGATTAGGGTTTAGGGTTTAGGGACTAGGGTTCGAATCCTTGGGACCTTAAGGCCGCCGAGCAAGACTTGCCTTGTTTTTGTTGCAGCACGCCTGCCGTCGAGCACGTTCTAAGCTTCGCTGCGTATGGCTCTGGCAGCTCCCGGCCTGTGCTGGGAAAAGCATAAGACGTTGACCATCAGGTTTGCTCCGGCAAGTTGTTCTTTAAGAAGCGCCATGTGTTCTAAGACATCCAGCGCCATCTACTTCAAGGTGTCAAGGGGCGAAGGAGCAACCCCGGCGTGCAAGATGATTTACTCAAGCTTAATCAGCCATTTGCTCCCAAAAGCCTCTCAACACTGTGGGAAAAAGGCTGTACAGATCCACACAGAGCAATCGAGGCCCAAAAATCTGAAAACCGTGACGAACCGCGGGCGGTTTGTAGCCTGCGGCGTCCCTCTAACCACTGAAACGAACCCATGCACTTCAAAAGCCCTGGCAGCCGAAAGTCTCAAGAAAAGACGATGGCGATCATACAATCACCCATGAAGAGCCGCGCTGAAGCAGAGTGAGCCCTGCTTGGGCAATAGAGATCATGAGCTAGTTCCCTCTGGCAATGAGTTGGCTTCAAGACAGCACGAAAACGAAACTCCAACCCCTACCGAAAATTCTATTGGCCCCAATGTCATGTCGACTTGCGGAGCTGCTTCAAGTGCCACAAGAGTGCTTGGATATCCGCCAACTGAGTGCCACGTGCAGCCAATTCGTGACTTTGCACGGCCGGTGCCGGTGCTAGGCTTGTGATGGGAGCAGCTGGCTGATTGCGTCTGTCCTGAGTGATCTTTGGCAGGGCATGTGAATCCTCCCTCGCCTCATTTGGGACCTATACACAAGCGTCGCGGTTCGATCGGCTGTTGCTGTGGGACCCAATAGATCTCAATAGGTCCCATCCGCGCAGCCGCCCCTAGCCTGCAATGCCGAGCAACTTTCCAGACTCCATGAGATATCTGTACTGTACAGGAACGTGGGGAAACGTATCCTTAGCTGCCAGATGCAAGTCACAGTCGACGCTCCTTGCGTGTGCTGTCACGCCGATGCCCAAGTCGTCGGCCCAGATTGACTGCGCCACTACACACCAGTACTCTTCTAGGGCTGCCTTTGTGGATTGGACCATTGGACTGCAGCTGCGCGTCGAAACGAGATTGCGCTGCCATGCAGCAGCAGTGTGTTCGACGCTGCCTTGGCAACTTTCCGACCATGCATTCCAAAGTTGGACTTGCAATAGAGCTACTGTAGCTGGGCGAGCTGCAGGGGGCGGCACTCACTGGCTTGCTCGAGGCGGCGGTGGTTTGATCTCAGTGCCAGAACTGGCTTCTTGATTCTGTGCGTTGAACGCATTCCCCCCCCCCCCCCCCCCAAAAAAAAAAAACATCCATGTAATCTCCCAATGGCCTTGCGAGTGGGGCATGGGAACGGCTGGCGGACTCCGTCAGTGAAGACGACCGGCCTGTATTCATCAGGCACGCTCCTGGCCACCAAGCATCGCTTGCATCGAGCAGTGATCTTTGAGAAAGGTTGCGTGACACTGTGTGTACAGGAAAGGGCTCCATATACAAACAAAAGTGTATCACGGCGCGTATCCCTTCGGCACGGCTTGCCATTCTTTTCTGAACTTAAGTCTCGACCTGCTCTCCACATGCGGCCATGCCTCCCGTAAGAGGTCCTTGAGTCACTATGCCTCTTTATGCCTCTTTGCCACCTGTGCTCCAAAGTGCCTGGCCTGTGCATTACCGGGCTGTTCCGGTAGCGCTCCACGTGGGCTGCAAGTCCTTGATGCGGTCCGCTCCAGCTCACACGGCACACCTCTCGGGGCTCCAACAGCTGAAGAGAACCGTCACCCAATGACCCAGAAAACAGAGCGCTCTCAGCCGTCTTTGCCTTGGCACTGGGAAGCGACCACCGCTTGAATCCATCAAAGCTCTCCCAGAACGCGCGCACGGCTTCCTCAGCACGTGGAGGCTGCTCGGCTGCTCGGGCGGCATTCGTTAACTGCAAACGTTACAAGGAGACACTATACTCACTATACTCGTCTCGCACCTGAGAGCCCCTCACATGCAGCTTGTCTAAGTAGCCACCTGCTCACCCTACAACCCAAGGAGGGAAACCCTGCACAAAAGTAATCTCCATCCTGCCACGTAGCCGCACTGGCAACTGACTAATTCTAACCTCAGGTCCTAAGCTTGTGAATTGTGAACTCCGTTCCTGAGGTGCGGTCATCGCTGACCAAGTTCACGAAGGCGTATCCCAGGTTGGCGCTGCGGTCGAAATCATGCGGCAGATATACGAAGTCATACCTAGGAGCATTCAGTCGCAGTTATGCGCACACCATGACACCAGCTTTGGACTGACCGTTGCCTCCAGACAAAGATCCTACTAAACTCTCTTGCCCCCTCAAAGACACCTCAAAAAGGGCCAGCAGAGGGATCTGAGGAACGGCCAAGCAGCTTCCCTTCGAGACCATGGACATTCAGCATGCTCAGCAACATCTCCCTGATTCAAGGCAGCACAGCTGGCCCAAACATGTGATGGGGTGTTCCAGGTGCCTGGTATAGTTGTTCGGCACATTCCGCATCATCACGGTGCTGCGACCGAAGGTGTGGTTCTTCTTCTCGTCCTCCATGCACATGTACGGCATCGGAGGAAGTGATTGAAACAAGTCTTAACATAGACCCTCACACTGACGAGAGGGAGAGGGAAAACAAGAAGGAGGGTCCAGTCTCAAGGGGAGACAAGAGGCTGAGGGGAGACAAAAAGGAGGTGTGACTGCCGATCCGGCTCTGGTTCCAAGCAAAGACCTGAGGGGACAAGAGGCACCAAGTAGAAAACTGGGCAGACGAAACAGAAAAGAGGGGATACAAGAAGGGATGTAAGAGCAGAGAGAGGAAACGGACGAAACACGCAAGTGGAACCGTGAAGGGAGACGACATGCCCCGATGTCGCAGGAGGCACGTCCACTGATCACTTCTCCTAGTCACATGTGGAAGCCCTACGGTAGACTGTTTGGGGAAAATGAATGTCGGGCTCCTTCTTCTTGCTTTGGTGGACACGGGCTTGCCTAGGAATCCAACTATTGCTCGCAGTGGAAGCGACAGGTTTTAAGCAGTCATTTCCTGCTGGTTCTTGGCCGGCAATGAGGGAATTGGGCACCTTGCATCCCCCTATGTAGCCCCGTTTAAGGGATTCCCTGAGGTACCAATTCCCCATTCCCTACGAAGAACCAATAACCAGTCAGACTTGGCTTCTGGCTTTGGCGACCCTGGAGCAGTAGAGACTTCGCTCTCCTTGCAGAGCCAACATGAGGGTGTACGATACCAGGGGTACCCTGTTGGGGTGTCCTGATTAGAAAGGGATCCTACTATCTAGGAATCTAGGGGAGTCCAAATTGGGGGTCCCTTGATATCGCAAACCCCCCACATTTTGGGGGTGCATCTCCAGGTTGCGGGGTTCCCCTTTGTAGGGGGAACCCTAAACCATAAACCCTAAACCCTGAACGGGCTTTCTACATGCCAACTCGGAAAGGCCAAGAGCAGCTTTTGATGGCGAACAAGCTCTGCCGAGCCGCGACCTCAACAGTGTCGCTGGCCTGCGCATCAATGCACGCGGCATTGCTGGAGCCCCTACTGGTGGCTGCAGGTTGCTCTGCGGTCTGTCATAGCCATTGAAGACCGCGTGAACGCCCTTGGTTTGAAACGACTTAGGCGTTACCACAGCGCCACCTCAAACTCGCAGACTGGCGTGGGATTCTGTGAACATCCTCAAGGCCACACACCCAAAAGACCCCAGCCTGTGACGTCCTTGAGGATGGCCTCAGGCTGCGGAGCTCCTCCTGACACAGAGGTCTGGAAGAAAGCATGGATGATGCTGATGATGCTGATGATGCTGATGATGCTGATGATGATGATGATAACATATGATAAACTTCAAGAAGAGGACTCCGGATCTCAGACTTCAAGATACTCTCAAGAGCAAAGCTCACCCTCATCAAGTCATGGAGCATGTCTCAGATCCTGTGGAAGTGAGACTGAACCGCAAGAACTGCTGGTCTCCTGTTCGTCACTGAACTTGCCTGGTGTGTATGACTTCTCCTCCGCTGGGTTGAACAGGTCCGACTCCTCCAGGACGAGCGGCAAAGTGAGGCTTGACAAAGTGATTGGATCAAGCATCATCGAGTCCAAGATCTCTGGCTCTCCCCTCTTCTTTCTCTACATGTCCCGACGATGCACCCCGAACCCCGGTCCGATTTGCACGGGCGCAGCTGGCGCCAAATCTCAGTCAGACTCTGGCCCTCTTTCAAGTCCACGAAGGTCGATCGCACCTCAAGTGAGCGCAACCGGATGTCAAGGTAGATGGAAGGTGAGGCCAGGTGAGGGCCAGGTGAGCCAATCCCGCCCAGGGGCCACAACAGTCTGCATATCCGCCTGCGCTGTCAGTCTATGTCGGTGCATGTCAGTGCCAGCACGCTCCTCTGGAGGTGAGATTACACGGCTCATCTGAGTCATCTGCCTGCATCTTCCGCTCGCCTCTTCTCAGCAACCAGGATGAGCTTGAGCCAAGGCTGAAGGATGATCAGATGCGTTGAACCCATGACAGGGCAGCTGAGAAAGCTAAGAAAGCCAAGAGACCTCTGCTTGCGGAGAGTTTTGGGTATAACCGGCGGCTGTGTAATTATCGTTGGAGCCGGTGGTTTGTCGCACCGGCTTTTGCCGAAATACCATGCGCTTACCACATTTCTGGCAAGTCGCACAGACACAGTCTGAAGACATGGCTTGAGATCGCAGTCGGTAGCTACCATCGCTTAACATCTTCCATTTGGCCCTGTTGCATCTCAAGGAGGTCATCAGAATGGAAATGGCAAATCTCTTGTCAAGAGAGGCCCCCAAGAAACTCGTGCGCTCTGCAAAGAAAAGCTGCAGGCCACCATGCTGCGTCAGCTGTTTTTACTGTTTTCAGTCCCGCTGGCATCTGCCGGCGTCTGCACAGCGTTGCTTCGAAGCAGTGATGCCATGGGAGCATGGAGGAGCGACGTTTAGGGGAAAAGACTAAAATGTTGCAGAATTCCGGAAGCACGACAGACCCGGTATATGGGGAGTCGGTGCCACGGTTCTGGTGCAAGGGGTGTCTGTCCAGATGGCTTTACAGACCGGACATCTGACCCCATCCCACGCTAGGCACTCCCGCGGACGGGAGGCATGAGCCTGACACAAACTGGAAACGAGGAGTTTCGCACCGACTCCACGGAGAGCCCTTGATCAATGACGCTAAGTATGACGCTAAATTCTGCTTCATGAGCGGATGTGTACAAGCGAAAGCTTTGACTCCGCGGAAGGGTGAGTACTTCCACCATGCAACCTTCTAGGCAGCCAGTCTTCGGGGTCCTGGGCGCCGTGGTCAACCATGTCGGTTGTAAGACGAGTTCGGGCATGGGCACTAGAGTCACTAGATAAACCATCATGCGCCAATGAGATTATAACTTTGGTGCAGCCGGGCATCAGGCACAAATGCAACAGACCACACTCGGAATTACTGCTTTCCAGCCTTCTTCGGGTGCTGAATTCGGATTGTCGGAGCAGGAAACTTCTTGCGGACACCATTGACGAAAATCATCGGCTTGTACTCATCGGGGACACTCCTGACCGATCTGCAGCACAGAGAATCTATGCAAGACCAGCACGGTGATTACAACTCTTGAAGATCAAACGCGACTGTGACAAGCCCACTAGCTGCTCCTTGAATGCCGAGGTCCCTACATTCTCTACATCCTCACACAAAAACCCGAAGACCCCAAGATATCCAACTCCCAGCGGCTTGTGCATCACCGGGCTGTTCTTGTAGCGGTCCACGTGGGCCTTGAACCCTTGCTTTGGGCCGCTCCACGACACCTCGCACACCTGCATAGTAGGGCTCAAAAAACGGGCGTGCAGGATCGTGCAGGCATGTTGAAGCCTTGCGCTTAGCTGCTCCAAGCCTTTGAGGAAGGGAAGGACCATGCACTGAAACCATCGAACAGCTTCCAAAAAGCCGCAACTGCTTCCTGGCAGTTCCAAAAAGTGAGCAGCAACAGCCCCTGATTCTGCAGTAGCTGCTGCAACTTTGTCAAACCAGTCCTCGCTAACAAGGTTAACGAAGGCGTAGCCCAGGTTGGCCTTACGAGTGAAGTCAATCGGGAGGTAGAGGAAGTCGTACTGCCCAGCGAAGTCGTGCGAATCAAGAAGCTGAAGAAGCATGGACCTGGAATTGGATGGGCCACTCAGCTACCCATTCGCTGCTCGTTCACACAAATACCGGCCTGGTATAATTGTTTGGCAGGTTTCGCATCATCACAGTTGTGCGTGGCCTCCTTCGCACGGAAGCCTGGTGACCGGGACGACCCTTGCACAGACCAGAACTGGGGCCTGATTTCAACTACTCTGCTGTCTTGTTTCCGGCTCTGGTTACAGCAATGACTCGCAGACGCCAACGAACTAGCTCCGGTGATTCAGAGCCTGCATATATTTAAACGGATACTGCCGGGCTGATGCGGGATGGCCAGCACAACCAAACAATGACATCAAGACACACACTCGGCCTGCTCCGACCATGCTCCCTGCTCCTGTGCTTTTCTGCTCAGGACGTGCGAGATTGAAAAACAGGCGAAGCATGTTGCTGTCAATCTGTGTCCATGGCCCCTTTGGACTCGTGAGTACAACCTGGGGGGCCGGATTCACCTGCTGTTTCATCCTGACCCCTGCCAGCGAAACGTACCCAAACGGCACAATCTCAAGCAGAACTCTGCGAAGCAACGCTCCTCTTCGCACTTCTCTGGGGTCTCAGGTTCGCTGCCATCCTGCTGCATTGCCATCATGCGCATGCGGCAAAATACAAATATCCGTAGGATCGTCCAGGCCTCTGTCCCAGAGGGTGTCGACGGCGTCGTCGGTGCAGTCGCCCAAGTCTGCGAGCGTTTGGAAAATCGTCCAGCCATGTGTCACTCAAACTTCGGTTTTCCAAGCACAGTAGTCGATCTGTCACCCTTTCATGTGCAATGCAGAACGCACAAGTACAAATTGTGCAAAGATGCAAAGGGAGATACAGAGGCTGCTGTACGGCTTGACATGACTTGACGTGCCGTCGAAGTGTTTATGCCGCTGCCTTGGTCGTTGAGTCCTCCGAGCAGCGATCCTTCTCTGTAACTCCAGCGCACGCTTCCTCACACTGGGTAAGAGAGGACTGCAGGTATCTGCAGGTACAAGGCAAGACATCTCAAGTGGGGAGAGCTGCCCACCAGAAGCTGTTGCCAGGCCTCGGCCAACTCCGATGAAAAGATACCTGGCTCGTAGACCTCACCGGCTGTGGGGTGCTGGTGTTGGACAGGAATGGACAGGAAGTCTGAGCATCATGTCTTCCTTGCTCATTCACTAGACTATGCACCAAAAGCGCGGAAGCCTCCGGGCCCTCTCCATCGTCCAAGTTGCCGTCAGTAGAGGCCTCACGCAGCAGGCGAGTACTTGCGACCAACGGACACAGCACATCCTTCACAACTTCAAGTGGCTTCGTGATGGCATGAGCAGTTAGGAACCAGTCTCAGCACTGCAGTCTGCAAGTTGCCACGACTGGCACGCATGAAGCTGGCATCCATTTGAGGATGGTCGCTCACTGAAACAGGCTGCCTTGCGGAAGGTTCGGAATCCTTGGGATGAATCCACAAAAACACCCAGACTTTGGAGCACTTGTCCCTAAAGATTGTGGTACTTTGCATGGACTGGAAGGCAGCCGCTGGACAGGCCCGGAAAGCATAGGACCCTGCGATCTGACTGCCAAGGGGCGCTTCTTGAGGCTGAGCCCATCCCCCATGTCCAGAAAGGTGCTTTTCACCTAAGTGACTGTGTCGATCGCGCAAGGGAAAAGTGTAAACCCAGGGCCCCATGTGTGCGCACCATGTGCAGCCGGAGCTTCACAAAGAACCTCTTCTTCGGTGCCCTCCTGCTTCGTGGCTTGCAGCTCCACGCTGAAGTTGACAATATGAGACTTCCTTAGGGAAAGCGCCCTGATCTCCAGAACTCCAGTCCGGGCATCTGGAGCCAAGTGTCGAAGCACCCTCTTCAGGCAAGAGAGGAGCTGTGCACGCCATGAACTTCACCTAAGACTGGGGGAATACTGGCGCTTAGGGTTTAGGGGTTCAGGGTTTAAGTTTAAGCATAGTTTGAAGTGCCATGCGGGTTGATGACTCAGCGCGGGCTCAGTCTGTCAAGTCATGCAGGTATGGTTGCTACAGCACTCTACCGATCTCTACCGCAGGAGAAAGCAAGCCATGCAGACCAGATCACAAGCAGCGGTCTTTACAAAGCTGCGGCGGAGCTGATAAGTATGGTGAGTCTGCCAATGAGCCAAAGGTGCCAGCGAGGTTACTGAGAGGTGGTGGTTGAGCATCACAAACAGTGCAGAAGACAAGCCCGGATGGCCTGATTGCAAAACTAGAGAAGATACATGTGCTTGACTAAATCCAGGAAACAAGACGCTGGGATCCCAGAAAGGTTGCCCTTCATGATCCAGGGGAAAGCAGCTGCCACAAAGACAAGGTGAACCCTGGGCTAGCATTGAGGTTTCCGAGCGCCCACGCGGGCGTGGTTTTCCAGGCCCTGCACCATCGACACTGCAGAAGTTCAAGACAAAGGGGCAACGAATACATGTAGACTTGTCCGACCATCCCGTGGCGCACGGTCCCACACCCGAAAGACCCGACATGTCCAGCTGCCAAGCTGTGGGAGCCCTTCCATTCCCCCTCGCGGCCTGCACTGGAACGTGCCGCTATCGGCGAGCCTGCCGCAAGCCAATGCAAACTACATGCGAATGAAGACCATCCTACGCTCACAACTCCAGCACCTGGGGGGCTGCTTTGGAGAAGCTCCTGCGTCGAAATCAGCTGAGAAGGCAAGTTGAATATAGCCGAGTACCCACAGTACGGGACGATGGGATGAGGCAGCTGACTGCATGAAAGTGCATCTCTCCTTGCCCAGGTACAAGATTCCCTCCCAGAGGCTGGCTGCCTGGGCCATCTGGAAGTCTGTGATAGTCTGTGTCTCGATGTTTGCTGTGGCAGAAAGATGCAGAAGCCACAGATCCGCACCGACGTGGAGATCTGCTGGGCGCCCTGATGGAATCGAACGGCTGCTGCCTTGGCCGCATGATGCATCCCGATGAAACCCAGTTGACGGTTAAGCAATAAGGGCTGGCTCGACACTTAGCGTTCCCTTCAAAAGGACTTTTGAAGCATCGGCTGAAAGAGGCGCTTTGCCGAGGACTGCGCGTTGAAGACCTCAGTGTCCTGGCAGCCCGGACCTGGCCAAGGGTATATCAACTAGCGTCACTCATCCATGCACTTCCTACAGCTGCCTCAAGCTTCCCCTTGGGTAGAGGACTCCTTCATGAACCCATCTGAAGCGACATGAAGCGAATCATCTGGGGACCGTGCAGCAGGGGTTGTCACCAAGACGACCTGTGCAGAACTTCGTAACTTTGCTTACCGTTAGAAGCGTCCTTTCAACCGTCTACTGGCAATTAACCTGACTGCGAAGAGAATAACAGGGGATTCCGGGCGGGCAGGAAGGAGTTCAGCCTTCACGTCTCAAGATTTATAACAGAAACTTGAGAGGGCTCGCTGAACAAAGGATGCCGAGGTAGCGCCCTTCCTAGCGAAACCTGGCAAGCATTGCTTGTGAATGCAGAGGCATGCTCCATTCACCAGGTTCCTGAATTAGATGCGCCATCAAGAGGCCTAGGAACATGTCATACTGAGCAGCTGGTAGAACAATGAGCGGCTTCAAACGTGCTCCTCTTGCGTTCTCTTGGAGTCGTAAACTGGGAAAGGGTATGTCAATAAGAGGACATGTCCCATGCCTATGCCGGGCAAGGTCCGAACCAAGACCAACCCGACACTCTTCACCCAGCTCGGAGCACGAACCTATACCCGAACCCTCCGAGCCACGAGACCCCATAAACGCCTAAAAGCCACAAAACAACCCGCAAATCAACCACCCTAAACCCTCAACCCTAAACCCCGAACCCCAAACCCCAAACCCTAAACCCCAGCCAAAAAACAACCCCCTAAACCCTACACCCTAAACCCTAAACCCTAAACCAGAAAACAAATCAGAGACAGCAATCCCATGAGCAGCGGGCCCACGCAGGCGGAACAGAGGGCCGCGGAGCACTTGATGCAAGCCTAAGAGGCCCCGGCCCCCTGAAACTCCTGGGTTTGGGAAGCTTAGGGAAGCTTAGGGTTTAGGGTTTTGGGTTTAGGGGAAAGGGTTTAGGACTTACAAGTAGGGAAGCTTGGGGCTTGGAGAAAGTTCGACGTCCCGGCATTCTGGTGTTCATGGGTGCCGGGCACGTTGCCTGAAGTCACGTTGCCTGAAGTTTGAATAGTTTCCCTTTAGGGTCTGCCGGGTTCAGGACTTAGGACACCCGACTACCCAATGAACTCCAAATCCTTTGCCTCAGGGCCGGACCAGGTCGAAGGAGGAGCTCGGTGCTTTGCACTGGAAGCAGCAGTGGGACAGCTGAAGCTGAGCCTGGATATTCCCAACTTCAGCGGGGAAGGGCCCCTTACAGGTGCCGGTTGCCACGGGATCCCTAATAAAAGCAGAGGCCCAATGTATAGAATGCGAAACAAACGCCCCAGATGGTTAAAGCGTTTTAGGGCCCCAGACCCAAGCCTGCCGCAGACTGGCTGTTGTTGGTCTGCTTTGTAGGGGTTCAAAACTGCATGGGCTTTTTGCCTGGCTGGACACTGCCCGGCGCAAGGCCACCTGGTCCTCCTCCCGCCTCAGCTTGGGTAAGGTGACATGGTTGCAATGGTTGCAAGGTCGCGACCAGCGTCTGCAGCACTTTTCACCGAGGTCATCACAAGACCAGAGGCGAGCCATCGCTGGAAAAGGCACCTTCATTGCAACGTGGGCTTTACAAGTGGCAAAGAGAGTGCTTCAGGCGCATGGTGTCGCATGGTGTTCCATGCCGCCTGCAGACAAGCATCAAATGGCCTTTAACTCTGCGTAGCTGAGAATATTCGCACATGAGTGCCGAGACAGTACAGAGGATGAAGTTAAAGAACTTGTGAGCCCACGGATCCACTGAGCCCAACACGCGTGGCGAACGCCTCGACCTCATTGAGCGCCTTCAGGGGAGCAGATTCATGGTTTGAACCGTGACCTAACCCCGAAACATCCCAAACTATGTCCACGATGGCCTTTTTTGAGTGTATTGCCGTGTCCTAAACGTTGACATGATACATATGTTGTGAAAATATTCTGTTTTCATTTTATTGTACCCTGTTGTTCTATGTCATTTTATAGTCTAAATGTCTCATTGTATATGTTAAAAGACTTTGTATACATATATATATATATATATGTAATACACGTATGTGCGTATATATATATATATATACATACATACATACATACATACATACATATATATATATATATGTAATATCCCCGCCTCGCCGGCACGGTTTGCGAGACCCATGGCTGCATCCCAGGCCTGGCTATTCAGGGGGCTTCGGTCTCGGGGAGATTAGGGAGATTAGGGCAGCTTGGGGATGTTTGGGGCAGGTTGCGGATGGCTCCAGCAAGAACGGGGGGCTTAAGGCGGTTTTAAGGAGATTTGGGATAGAGGGTGCTTTAAAGGCAGTTCAGGTTGGCAACATGTGGTGCCAAAACGACGCGTTGCATGCCCGACCTCGCCGGCAGCCAGGAATTGCCCCAAAGGCTCTGAGTTCTTCTCAGCCTGGACTTTTTGGCAGCTGTGAGGATGGCCCGTTGGGGTTCCAGAACGGTTTGAGGAAGTTCCGCATGAGATCATTGTCTGTGTTGTGGGGAGCTGTTACAGTATGTGAACACGCTTTTGCGGAGCGATCAGGCTACTTGCCATCGGTGCATCACTCCGAACTTTCACAAGACAACTCCTGCGGCTGTCCAAAGTTGCCCAAGTTCGCTTCCGGAGAGGAAGCTCTGCCTGGGGGGCCCGGCATCGCCACATGCAGGGCAGCGCCGCTCCGAAAGCTCGGTGCGGGCACAGGGATAGCAGACGCTGGCCTGGGGAAACATGTTGGGAGAGAGGATGAGATGGACTGAGGATGGTTTAGGGCTTGTGACGGCTTTAGGGCGTCGTAGGCTTCAGAGGTTGAAGGTTTAGGCGGGATTAGGATGTTGGCACCTCTCGTACATAATTTTACATGCAACGAGGCAGAGCCAGAAGCTGCAGCTCAAACAGCCTCTTGTCTCTCAGGAATGGACGTGGCAAGCAGGGCAGACATGGTTGGTGGCCTTCACGCAGTGTGGGCGCAAGACTGGCGGAACTAGCAGCTAGATCCGGACGACGTTTGAGAGATCTGTCAAGCTGTTTGGACTCATCTTGTGCAAAGGCTCTGATGATGCAAAACAGTGGAAGACACAATGAGGAGACCACAGACGACGGTGCTTTGCAGAGGCAGCAAACCTCGCAGGCATGGCGCACCGATGCTTTGCTCAACCCACTTTCTGCACCCGAATCTAGGAGGCCATTTGGCCCTTGGATCATGTGCCGGGCTACATGAGCGCACCAGTGCCAAGCTCTGCCCTCCACCTGCCACACTAGAGGCTCACTAGCGGTCTGCACATTGCCACTTGGCCCCCGGCACGGCTGCGCTCCCTTTCGAGTTCGGTAGCATGCCTTCGAAAGCGTGGATCATCGGACAAATTCAAAAAACAACGGCATAGTCTGGATGACGTGTCAGAGCGCTAGACGCTAGCCGCTAGGCAACGGCCCCCTTTGTGCTGCAACCCTTGTTGACCGAATTTCATGGCCAATGTGTTCCTCCTTTGCTTCTCCGGTGTCCCTGCTTGATGTCGCACGGCTTGGAGATCCCGTTCGCCTGTACCCCGCCACGTTCCGCCTCTTCCGCCTCTTCCTCGGAGTCTGGACCCTAACCGGGAGGGGCCAACTTTGGTGAGGCGGACGCATCAGTTTGCTGGAGCTTGCTGGCATCCAGCATCAACTCCCGACTCTCACCAATGTCGCTTCAGCCAACATCTTTTACCGAGTTCAACGTGGTTGTCATTTGACCGACCGCTGGCGGCAGCATCGTGTTGCGGAGCAATGGGGAATCATGGTTTCGGCCGACATCGGTGTGCTTTCTTGCCCCCATAGCCCAGGCACGCCAGTGCTGCGAACTATGACGACCTGCCTTGGCAAACTCAGGTCCACCACAGCTCCAGATCCGACCTGGCAACTGCTCGAGACTCATAGCCCCAAAAAAACACAAAGCGAGAGCAGCTGTAAAAATGTCGCGAAGTGGGCATTTCCCAAAAAAGGGTACCCGTATACCCCCCACATACTCGAATCCTTCCTATGGGAGCCTCCGAAACTGCTCTCCCCACTCACTGCCGGCCTTGTCCAAATTGTCGGCCACTTCGGCACCAACCTGAATCGAAGCTGCGAGTGATTGGTTGAAAGTTGCAGCAGCAAGTGACGGCACTTTCTGGCTGCAACCTGTCAGCTGATGGGACGCTTTTCTGGCGACGAGGGGCATGTAGCTGACGACTCGTACGAAACTCGGCATTCCGATGCCCGCAACAGGTCCAGCTTGGCTCGCGTAGCCGTTCGCGGACTAGGCCCTTAGGACCCTTCAAGGGGCATGCGTGGAACAGATCAGTTGATCAGTTCGCCTGGAGCTCCCGCCCTCAGAGAGGGAAGCAGCTCAGCAACAGCGAGACAGGAAAACTGATTCCTGAGACCTTGAATTAGCTTGAAATGGGGTAAGTAGCGCACTACGACTGGCATCTGGCCATTCCAAAAGCAGCATGAGATCCGCGGTTTGTGAGCACAAATAGAAGCAGAGCCAGCAGCAAATCAGCAGCGCGTCTTAAACGAGGGACTGCAATGTTCCTTGAAATGAAGGGTCCGACCGAGCCCACCAAGGGTTGTGTGAAGTATGGCTCTTATTACTAGGATCCCCCACAAGGCCATGAATTAGATACACTCACCAATATCTATAAAGGAGCCCGAAATACACTCACCAACAACAGTTGCTTTCAGGCCACACAACCGCCTGGCGAGCTCCAGGCAGGTTCTGCCAGACGTGACCCTTGGCTCCATCGGCCCGGTCCACGAGGGCAAACACCCTGAACCGAGCCGATGGAACCTTTTCGGGATCCATCACGGTCCCGTAAGTGTACAGGAAAAATCGCTCTGCAGCGACTTTGCTGTTTTTTTTTGTCCGCCGGCCTCATTGAGGACAAGAAGCGATGCACATGTCATGTGATGAGGAACCTGCGAACAGCGCATGGCACCCTTTCTGCAGCCAAGCATCATTTAGCAGACTTGTTTGTCTGTCTCCAGCGTGACTGTGGCCTGACCGCCACATTGTGGCAGCACGTCCTTGACGCCCAACTCTTGGAAGACCGCCTGCACTGCTCTTGAAAGGCTGGGTCTCGCAGTCTGTAACAGGCTTTTCCTTATCGGCTAGATATGTAGGCCCTCTTCATGATGGTCGAACTTCCTGGCGGGGATTGGTAAAAAAACACCGGCGTAACTACAAGTATCTCAACCCACGACACTTCTGCACAACCGGTGCATGAGCTGGAAACGTCAGCAACGCATGGCGTGAAGCTTTTGTTGAACAGAGAGGAGTTGGAGCGCGCGTTGCCGACTTGCCCCCCTACGTCCCAGGTGCAATGCGGCATCCCGGTGTTGTGGGCCCTGCTTTGATGGATCTAGCTCGTGGCCTCGTACTGCAGTGCCGCATTGCTCCAAGTGAACTCTGCGGCAGCGGCCATTGCAGCCTTCTTCATCTCAACGACCTGACAAATGTAACGGAAGGCTGTGGGATTCCCAGCGGAGAAAGGACGCGAAATTCAAGCAGCCCTAAGTTGCAAGCAGAAGCGCGCTCTCTGCATCTGCTCACAGCAAGTTGAGCAAAGCATTCGGCTAGCGCAACTCTCAAGTTCCCTTCCAAACAAAAAAACCGGGCCTCTTCAAGGCCGCGAACCGTACACCCTACACGGCTTAACACCGTAAACCCTAAACCCTACACGGCCCCCTATACCCCAAACCCTAAACCCTAAACCCTAAACCCTAAACCCTCCACAAAACGCTTCGGGGCCTTGCTGGGCTCCGACTGGAAGAGCCGACATGCTCGGCGCAGGACCTTGGCCAAGGAATCCACGGACTCCTGGCGCTCCGGCTGCGGGGGGGTCTAGGGTTTAGGGTTTAGGGTTTAGGGTTTAGGGTCTAGGGTTCAGGGTCACAGAACTTGAGGATGCTGAAGAAGCTGAGAGTTCATTGTTCACGTGTGCCACGGATAGATTCGACTTAGATGTAATAGATGTGCATATAACATGCGTCAGCTTCCCTGAGCAGAGGTTGCCGCAAATGAGTGGCACATCATGCCACCAGTAAAGCTCATTGTCCTCATACCTTCGTGGGGGGCAATGATCGCCCTAGTGTTGGGCGTCTGGGTATATGTTCCCATGTTTAGGGCTGTTTGAGGTTCATGTAGCTCCAAGTTCAAAGGTTCATTTAGTCGCGAAACGAAGAGGGTCTGGGTGCGCTCTGCTCGGCTGCTTGTGCAGCATCTGAAGAGAATCTGTTTCGGCTGAATGTGCTGCTTCTGAGACCCTCTCAGGGGAGAAGCACGGGGCTTTGCGGGGTACTTTCCAGCGCGCCACCAAGATGGAATCCCTGGCCTTGACAAGGCTGGCCAGTCCACGTCCCTAGAAAGCCTTTCCTCGCACTGCCAACGAACTGAACCCTAAACCCTAAACCCTTAACCCTAAACCCTAAACCCTAAACCCTAAACCCTAAACCAAGCTCCTGCTCCACGATGGCCTCGACAGTCATCTCGCCATCCGTCCAGAGGCCATTGAGGCCATCCTCTTAACATCAAAACTGTATGGGGGGTTGGGATGTTCCCCTTATACCATCAGTCCTTAGTAGGGATTATAATATGGGATACTATAATCCCCCGTAAGAGCTGTTGGTATAAGGTCTGTTCTCTAAATTAGGGTCACTTTTTGATTTTTGGGGGAACCCTCAGTAAGAGGGGCCCCCTTATCATGAGGACTCCAAGAAGGACCATGTCTTAGAGCAAGTGACCATGTGCAAAACTGACTTTGAGTGAAAACTTCAAGGCCCCGGGTATGGCCATGGCAGGCTTTCTCGCGTGGGCATGGACCTGCCTCGACAGTATCCTTCAATCCTCCCGTTGGGGCGACAATGGGCAGCGTTCCCAGCCGCATGGCCTCAGCGGCGCTGAGTCCCTCCATGAGCCCTGATTCTGACGTGTGCAGGAACAGGCAGCGGCCTCCATCTGCACAAGTCCGCATGGTTCCCACCTTCGGCAACACTCGAGACGAGTCTTAGAGAGGCTACAGAGGGTGTACAGAACAGCCATGGACCCACAGAAGGGCCTGGATGGCAGCAGCGTGTAGTCACATCCGGCGAGAAGAGCGTAGCGCTCTGCTCCCATCCAGCCTGTCTTGCAGCAAGAACCCGTTGAGTGAATTGAAGAATGGCGGTGCTACAAGTAGCTTTCCAACTATTTCCAAGTATAACGCCCTCTTTTCATCTGTCGTTAGAGCAACACCATCCTTGAAGCCCGGAACCCCAAAGCCCCAAACCCTCAAAGCCCGAAGCCTGACACCCATCCCGCACCCGAAAACCCCAAGCGTTTCTCATCTTCAGGCTGTTCATTGAAGTTAGTTGATCATGCTTGATCGAGGTCAGGTCGTTCATTAGGTTCTGTGTGAAACTTGTCGTCGCATGCATCTGCATCCCGGCGCCGTCCGCATGCCTTCCGCGGATGGGTGCTGCGTTGAACACGAGGGCTCTTCGAGAGATCAAACGCTTCGCCCTTCGACATAGGCTTCGCCATATTCGCACCTGCTTTGCTGAGTTTTGGTGGTTATGGAAACGGCCAAGTACCTGAGGATGATTACTCTGCCAACATGTTTTACCATCTCCACTTTCGCTCAGCGTGCTGCTGCGGGGTCTGCATGCTGGCATTCCAAAGATCTCTGCAGCCACCGTGTCCGTTTCATGCGCGCGTGCGGCACAGGGAGATCGGCTCAGCCGATACAGGGCAGCTTCTGCTCTTCTTGCCCGAAGCGCTCCTGTGACCTCTGGCCTTGCTACTTCATTATGAAGTAGCTTGATAAAGATGCCTGCACCCTAAACCCGAAAGCAACCTGAGCAGTAGACCCAGCCTGCGTAGAAGAGCTTGTTGGGGAACTGCTTCTCCACGGCCTTGGTCCTTGGCCGCCGCTCTGACTGCTTGACTTCGCACCCCCCCCCTAGAGTCAAGCCTATCCGCAGCGCTAACGCTGAATACTTGTACCAAACGCTGCATGACACCTTAAAGGAATGATCTCAGATGCGAAAGAACAGTAGGGGGTACCTGCTTCCATTCCCGCTTCACGATCAAGCTTGGAATTCTGGTGGCCATTCATGTCCGACATGTCTCTGAGATGACAAAAAACCTTCTGAGGCACGCCACTGTGCCACGAGATCAGCACGACCAGCGCCGACCACCACCATCTGTAGCTCGGTGTCCTGGCGTCAGTAGCGGCCGCCCAAATTGCTAGAAACTCTCAGAAGCCCTTCAAGAGGTTGCTCCCACGACAACAACATCCGCACCATATTCGCCATTAAGATGAAGTTAACAAGGACCAGACTCTCCCCAACGGCAATGACAACTTGGCACTGCAGCAAAGATACTGATGATGAGGAGTTTCGATGATTTAGTAGCACGGCAGGATCGCAAAGTACAAAGCATGATGCTAGTCAGAAAGAGAAGTGACCAAATAAAAACCATAAATTCCCCATCCGAAACCCTTCTTTCGCCTCCAGCACCTCCATCAGCGCCTCCAGGAGGATGTCATAGCCTTTCTGGGCATCCAACCTGCGCCAGTCTTGGGAAAGGGAATACGTCTGGGTTGAGAGTCTAGGTGGTTCTAGGGTCAAGAAGTTGCAAGGGCTCTGGATGGCTGAGGGGTTGTACCGTCCTGGGTTCTACCCCAAGGCCACAAGGGTTGCAGGGCTCAGGGTGAGAGAAGCAAAAACGAGCCTGGCCTTCCGATAAAGCACATCAATGGGCCCTTGCATTCCTGCAGGTTGTTCTGCTGCCGGTAGAGGTTCTGCCAAGCGCCAAGAAAGCACTGGCTGCGACTGGCCGCTTGAATGCCACTGCAGTGCTGGAAGCCCCCTGACTTCGGGTGCTGCAGGCCTTCAGCTCTCTCTTGGCTGCATCCGCCGTGGCCGCCTTAACAAAATGGCACGGAGGCCAAACGAGTTGCATTAACACCATCCGCAAATGCAGCTGGGATCCAGGCAGTGAACGGCCCGCAAGTCATCATGGTCTTGGTGACGAAGTTCATGTCACTGGGAGAGACACCCTCCTTGACACCGTTCAAGATTCCTCCGGGG